TTTACCGCCCACCATTTTCGTAGTTGCGCCTGCTAACCTAAATAATGCAGCCAGTTTGGCAGTGAACCGTAAAGCATACGAAAGCGCTACTTCTTCTCCTTCTTTCGCGTTCGTATTTACTTTTAATATTTTATGTAGGCTATTTGCCACACTCAACGCTGCTCTGCTTGGTCAATTGCGTATTTATTAATATTTTTGATTTTTTTTTTTATAGCATACCATTTATTATGGCATAGATTGTGCGCGCATTGAGCTCGTCTTCGACTTGTATATTCAGCGCATGCTCATATGCTCTAACAATTTTTGGTGAAAGTTATTCCCAATCAAATGCAACGTCAATCGAGTCGTGCTACGGCACAATACAAGCCAAAACTATTGAGCAATGCTCAAGAATTCGTTGTACACACATACATACATATGTATTTCTTTATGCATACCGCTTCTTAGTCATTTGATAATGTAAGTAATAGCATACGTAATTCGAGACACGTTTGAGTCGCTCAAAATTATGCCAACACAGAATACATAGCATAGCATAGCATATTTGGAGGCATAATAAGCGTTTTTTCTTATTTAAATTTCAAATTCTTATACTATGCCCACCGAAAGTTCTAAACAAATATGTTAAAACAACCCACTGAGTCGTCGAAAAGAAAGTTAAAACCTAACGGTTTACTTTATAACGACTTGAAATTTAGCATTGCAATGCCTTATAAAATGTTATATGCACTTGTAAATAAAAAAAAAAAATTTTCAAGAGGTTTTAGACTTTAACAATCGGTGATTCATTTTGTAAAATTTTGAAATTCCTTGATTCAGTAGCTGATCCAAAGCAGGACCTCCGAAAGGCGTCTGGCGGTGAGGAAGATGTTTCTGCTTTACAATAAACCAAACACCAAAATAATATTATTTCCATAAATGAATACAAGTAATGATCGAAAGACTTTTGATTTTTGTTCAAATGTTCACAATAAAAATTCATTTTTATAACAGATTCACACCTCAGAGTGGCTGAAAAAATGGAAATTATTCTTATCTGAGAAATATAAGAATTATTTATCCAGCTATTTGGAATAAATTTTTCTCGCCCACACTGAAAACAGCGTTTCGAGAAAAGCGCATTTAAAGTTTTGCGATCCGATAAGATTGGATTAGGTTCTACTGACTAACTGTCACGCCATACACAGACCTACAGGTCCTTTGTAATGCTAGCTGGAGGTTCAGTTTAGTACGAGCTGCAGTTTGCGTCACACAGGACGTCAATGCTTTTAGCGAAGTTTAATAAAACCGACATGATATCTAATCCTGATACTTCATACAATCCCTTGAACTGCGAAGCTTCTACATATCGTAGCCGAGTTCTATATAAAACCGAACTGCAGCTGGTGAGGCATTCCAGCGTCTAGTTTGGAGATCGTGTAAGTAAGAAGCATGCGTGTTTTCATTCCGTTCCTCTGCACGTGATCTTGGTGATCCTGCATGCCCTTAAAGGCGTTACATTTCATCCGATAACAATAAGTTAAAAACACCTTACAAATACGCCTACATATATCTTTGTTCAATTTTAGACTTTCGGAAAATATTCGCAAATACATTCATTCGACACATAAGCAAAAAAATGTGGAAAACGGTTGGCCTCAAGGGCCATCCCTGCAACTTCCCTCTAATTTCATACGCTAACGTTCAAATTTCGCTTTTTTCACTGCTTTTGAGCTCTTCGAAATTTTTCGTTTTCGATATCTAGCAAGTAAATCAACCGATTTCGACCCGGTTTGCGGCAAACGATGTGTTTCTTCAAGGTTTAGAACTGATTAGTTTTTGGTGTCGATCGGTCAAGTCGTTTGGAAAAAATTCGAATTATTTTTGAGATTTCTCGACTACTGGTCCGATTGGGTCCAAACTTACACGAAATTCAAGTGCAATGAAACCCTTTGGAATGCCGTTTAGTTTATTCAAATCGGTTGAGCCGTTTAAAAGTTATAAGAGGATCACATACATCCACACACACACACATACATCCACACATACATACAGACATACGGACATCATCGTAGAAATGTTCGGGGAAGCTTCCTCGACCCTCAGAACGTCGAAATCTGTTGAGAACTCGATTTTTGCAAAATGGGGTGAAACCAATATCTTCCCGATTTTTAGAAAATTTTCCATTTTATTAGCGGGAAGTTAAAAAAACGATTTTTTTAAATTGACATGTGGATATAACCCCTTAAACAACCATTTCTACCTCCGAGCAGCAATCAAAGATTTTCCAGATTCCACAAAAATATGATTTTTTGGAATATTTTCTACTTCTTTAATAGTTGTTGTACCATTTATGTTTTAGTAATCGATTAGGTTAAAAGGTTGATTCCAAGACAGCATCGCACTTGGACACACTATGATCAGTCGTTTGGGAAGCCAAAAAAAAGAACTCCATATTTATATATTTTAAATCTCGACAAGGCGTCAATACAAATCAGCTTAGAGGTTTGTTTATACTCGCCAGCTTAGCTGCATGTCTTACGTTGTGAGAATCAAGATGTTTTAAGCTTGATCCCGAAAAAGCAATTAGGAATAAAATGTTAAGCTGTTTCCTGCCTCATCTTATTTCAAGCAGCGTCTGCAACTGGCCTCCCATAAGACTTTCAACCTTATCGCATTGACAACCAAGTAAAATAACTCCGAACTTTACTGAGGGCGAAAACCGCACTAGTTCTCTTACGATTTACTTTCGGCCAAAAGGATCTAGCGACAGCAGAGGTACCCTTAATTACTCACTAAGCTCACACTAAGTCCAGTAACCACCAACCCGTTTCCACTTCAACAACAACGAGGCTGAAATGAATATCCTTGCCAGCTTTGCCGTTGGCTGCGATGCCGCCATGTTTTGGTACCTAAACTAATCTTATCCAGAACTAATCCGATGCTGTTGTTAATGAGTTTCGGCATTCCTTACTCAGCCTGCAGCGCACGGTCATTGAGTTTAAGACTAGTATTGCCGCTCTACTATCAAAGTGAATAGTCATTACCCTAAAGGAGGCTGCGCTTCGGGTCAATAGATCAACTGCTACTTTAATGGCAGCAACCCCGTCTTGAAAAACGCTACAATGTCAGATGATAGATAGTTCCCGACAATAGACGCCGATACATTGTGTTACCTAAATACCACTAAGTATTGATAGTAAAGACTCTCCAAACTCGAAAAAACGCTTTGAGCCTGTAATTGATGCGACTAATATTGGTACCGGCTAATTTGCCAATTTCGCCGAAGACATGACTGACTTTACTAAGATCAAGTAGTTCCGTGGATCTTTGTCTTCTAATCTAGGACAGAATGATCTGACACCTGGTGAATCGTTTTATTTTCTGACATATTTTCGGGGATAGCTTATTACTAGCAGTATCTCAAGTGTATTGTGACCACACTTTTTGAGCTCGGCTTGCTTTTGTTCTATTGGAGTGGGTTTTCTAAGTGCATCAAATGATACTTCTTCCCGGCAGTTGCAGTTGGCAAGCAGAGAGCATGAAATACATATATTTTCACGGTTTTGTTTTGAATTGTTGAGAACTGCTTTGCTCGTTTAGTTAGAACAGTTTAAGGCGATTTCATTCAGCATCAACTTAAGGCCAGATCCAGGCTAACAGTTATTTCAACACTAATCATAGTCTAACGAATGGAAGGGACGACTGAGTTTGAAAAACATCTAAGATCTTTTATTTCGACACTTCTTTGCTCTGAGCGAGCAGTTGTAACAATTACCCCCAAAAAATTTGGAGAAATGTAGCAGAGTTGTCAATCCTTAGTCGGATAAAAATCCGTGTCCGCTACAGTTTCATAGATCCGACTGTAGTGGGAACAGGCAATTACGTTTCTTGGTGCCTACTAACGGTAAACATGAGAAAATAATATTTACCAGCTGATCAAATGTGTTCCGGACTGACAAAAAGAAAGCTATATTTCCAAGTGTTTTAATACAAAAATCTTTATAATCGTCTTCAAAATAGCCAATACAAGTAATCCAATTTACTACGACCTTGTGATAAGCCTCGGCTGGGATGGCCTTCAGTACCTCAGCCCATTTTGTTTTTTCGGTTTCGGCTCATTCGGAGCGCCAATCACTAGATTATTGGGCAGCTTCGCCGTCATATTCATACACTCACGCCTCGTCACCAGTAATGTTGTGTTTGATAAAGCTAGGGTCCTCAGCTACGTTGTCAAGCATCTCTTGTGCAAGCTCTACTCGACGTCGTTTTTGCAAAAGTTTCAGATTCTTTGTTACGAGTCTAGCATTGACACGCCTTATACCCACAACATTAACCGCAATATGTTGAGTCGAGCCAGAAGAGATGTTGCCAACCGCTGCTAGCTCGCTGATGCCAACATGATGATTTTCATCCTCATTAACAGTGGTGGATGGACAACTCGCATGAGACCAGAGGATGACTTCACGATCTTCACTGATTGCTATAAATACTTGCGTCGGTCATAAAGCCGACTAACTAAAACACTTAAGAAATATTTGCAACAATGCCATAGCCAAGATTCTATTGGAAAAAAAATTTTCGAGGAAGCAAATTGTTCAACTGTTTTTTTTTCATAGTTGAAAACGCCAGCGAAACTTTTCGCTACGTAAACAGCTGCCAAACAGCTTTAGTGGAGAATAATCTTTACACAAACGTTACAATAATGTTGTATCAATCTAGAAATAATAAAAATTATCGATGCGGTTTACACGCGAAAGTATGAATGCCTCAATTCCCGACGAATTTGATCAAATGTAGGCTTTGTAGCATCACTGCAGCCAGCTAACGGTTTATAGTAAAATATGGACTTTGCAATAAAATCAACTATTACTTTTTATTTATATTATATTGTTTATATATTTATATTTATATATATTATATATATAGATATATATGTATTTCGATATATTTTTAATATTATATTATGTATATTAAATCTACAGTGTATTTCATTATTGTTAATAAACTTGCTGCTTTAGTTACTTTTTTTCGATCTTTTATTTTATTGATAGTATTGCGCGGCCACACAGGCGCGGGAGAGAGGCGCAAGTGTTTTGACAATATTTTTTTAAATTTTTTTTTATTATAAGAATTAAAACTAGTAGAAGTAATTTTACTTGTTTTTGAGTTTTTTGTTTTTGTAAGCAACATACAAGCACGTATACATAAACCGTACATACATATGTATGTATGCGTGTATATAAGCAGTTATGTGTTCGAAAATAACGCCTTTACATTTCATTTAAATTATTATAGGTTCATAATAAAATATTTGCGCGCACTTGCTGCCACTTTGCGCTCAAATTGGAAACACTCTGAGCGCAAGCTTAGTATTTACTTTATGTATATGTATGTATATAACTAATTCTATAATATGTACATATGCATGTATGTGCTTATGTTTGTAATTAATAATAATAAAAAATATGTTTAAATAATTATAATTAATTTAGCATAAAAAGTACAAAGCACATGTGGGCATACATACACTTAACTGTAAATACGTACAAACAAGTAAATTGCATAGTGTGTGTGTGTGTGGGTATGTGGTGCTTAAAGTAGAATACAAAAATAAAAAGCGTGCACGTAGACTAAATACATATAAATATAAATATTTATAATAGTTACAGTAACATATATTTATATATATGAATGTACATATGTACGTATATATGAATGTACATAAGTATGTATATGTATGCATGTGTGCTGTGTTTAAAATGTGCAATTTCAATTAAATAATTTAATTTATAAATAAAAGTAGGCGAACAAAAAAATAAATAAAAATTAAGTTGCTGCAGTGCTAATTAATAATTTCTATAACATAACTAAAAAGGCGAAAATGGCGACTACTTGAGTGTGAGTTTCAAAATTAACGATTTTTAATTTGTTTCATTATGACTTAAGCGCCTGCCAACTGAGCGTGTGTAGTGTAATTTATAGAAAACCCCCTTTTATATATATTTACATACATATAATATGTGTGTAGTATATGCTATACCGTTGATTTCAATTGTTGTGGTTTTGTGTGAGTGAGTCTAACGCTAAAGCTAAATATACAGTAGTTTAATTAACTAGCATTAATTTTTTATTTTAATATTTTTGGAAAATATTTTTTTTTTTTAAATATTTGTTTTCAAAATTTTTTTTGGCAAATATTTTTATTTCTAAATTTTTTTTTGAAAATATATTTCCAAATATTTTTTTTTAAATACATATATTCCCAAATTTTTTTTTGCACATACATATATTTCCAATATCTTTTTATTGAAAATATATTTCTAATATCTTTTTTCGAAAATATATTTTCAATATCTTTTTTGAAAATATATTTTCAATATATATTTTTGCCGAAAAAAATCTTTTTTTGAAAATATATTTTCAATATATATTTTTTTTTTCTTGAAAATATATTTTCAATGTTTTTTTTTTTTGAAAAAATTGTTCCATGTTTTTTTTTAAATACTGTTTTACGATTTTTTTTTAAACTATTTGTTTAAACATTTCTTTCAAATATTTCTTTGTTTTTTTGAAAACAATATTTTTAAATATATATATTTTTAATTTTTTTTTATTTTATTTTTACTGTGGTGATGTACCGAGGAGCTAATTGTTCAATATTAAATTTCCAATAAGTGGCCTAAACATTTAATAAACACAATTAGCAAGTATTTAGCGCGTGCAGTGCGCCTGTGTATATATGTATTTACTAAAAGTATGCAACACTAGACTTCAACCAATGCAACACCCACCCAAGAGCTTTGACTTTGTGGCGTTTTTGCCGCCCGTTTGCCAAAACGAGCCTGCGTTATGCCAACATTGTATTAAATGTTGCACAAAAAAGGTTTAAAAAAAAAAAAAAAAATTGAATAAATCAAATACACCTAACACATACACAAATTCGAATACAGAAAATATTAATATTTGCTAACGGGCGCGCATACATATAATTAATTATCTACAACTTATCACACGCGCACGCTTATGTGTGTGTGTGTGCTTGCCGACCGCACACTCGTTCACTCGTGTTGCTTTCTAAAAGCCGCGCAACAACGCGTTAACAATGTTCTTGCGCGTGTGTTGTTATGTGTTGTAGTCATCGTGCTGTGAGCTAAAGTAACTGACAAGCCCGCTAAATTCGCTCGCTTGTCCCTCACCGCTGTCCGCGGCCACCGCGGTCGTGGTTGTACCCTGCGCTGATGAGGAGTCATCAGCCACCTCGGTTTGTATGCCGCCCGGTGAACTGCGCGAACCCGACGACTCACCCGCTATGACGAGTGGTGATTTGGTGTGTGCCACCGCGTAGGTTTCCAGTGTGGTGAGTTTTTTGCGAGGCGGCGCTTGTGGTTCATTGACAATGCTTGCTGCTGCTACCGTTGCCGTTACAATTGGCCCTTTTCTGTTGACTATGGTGGCGACGGGTGCGCTCACAGCGGCTTCAGTCACTATTGCACGCGTTGGTATTGCAGCGGGTGTTGTAGTTTGTGGTGTGGTTGTTTGTATGGATGTTGGTGTTGGCGTTTGTATTATGGTTGGTGTTGGTATTGATGATGATTTTTGTACAATATTACTTTTGTTTAGGTTGGCGCTGGCGCTGGATGGTGGCGCTGCTACGATGACTGAGCTTGGTTTCGCTATGGTTGTTATTATTGCGCTTGCTGGTATGCTTGCTTTTGTGGTAGCTATTGGTGTTGTTGTGATTGCTGCTGCGCTGATTGCTGCGGATACTATTGTTGGCGGTACGGGTGGCACTGAAATAGTTACCGCTGTTGTTGGTGGCGGGCAACCACCGCCGCGTGATGATGGCGTGGATGTAGGCGGTCGCTGCATTGGTGGCCCATGTGGTGTGGTAAGTGGTGGAGGGGGTGGATAATAACCATACGGTGAATAAGTACCTGCAAAAAGAAAATTTGAAGTTTACTTTTTAAGTAAGTGTGTGGAGACTTTTGTTGGAGACTTTTCAAAATATTATAGTTTATGCCGATAAACCTTTTAATGCGACTTGAAGATGGAGCCGAAACAGAAAGGAAAGTTGTTAAGTTAGTGTGTGGAGACTTGTGTTGGAGACTTAACAAACTATTTCCATTAATGCCCATAAACCTTTTGATGCGAGACGCAAATGGGGAGGATGAAATTCGAAACAGAAAGTAGAAAGTTATAAGATTAGAGTGTGGAGACTTTTGTTAGGGACTATCCAAAATATTTTAGTTCATGTCGATCAACCTTTTAAAAAGAGCTAATGACGGGGAATATAGAATACGAAACAGAGCAAAGGTTTTGAAGTTAGTGTGTAGAGATTTGTGTTGGAGACTTTACAAAACATTTTAATTTATGTTCATAAACCTTTTGATTCGGGTCGTAGACGGAATACGCACAAAAAGGCTGTAAAATTAGAGTGTGGAGACTTATATTGCACGCTTTCAAATAATCTAATTTCAGTCGATGAACCTTTTCATGCAAGAGTCGAAAATGGGAAGATGAAACATGAAACAGCGGGTAAGAAATGTTATAAAATTAGAGTATGGAGACTTGTGTTCAAAACCTACAAATAATTTGATCGATGAACCGGAAATTTTTAATGAGAGCTTATGATAGAGAGAACACGAAATAAGATTGTTAAGTTAATGTGTGGACTTTCAAATATTTCAATTAATGTCGATAAACATTTTAATGCAAGTCGAAAATAGAGACGGAAGGAGCATTATCAAATTTTAAGATAAATATTGAAGAAATCGCATACGGAGTTGATAGATTTTGAAGTCTTAAGTGAGATACCCTTTCGAGCTGGAATGTATTCGATATTTGAAGAATCTAAAAACGGAGGTTGACAAAACTAAGTCTGACGATGAGAGAATTTGAAGGGAGAAAAGTACGAGGAGGAGAAATCTAAGGACAGAGCAGAAAGAGAGATAGAGACTGAATAACAGATTTTGATATAAACATTCCGCGGATTTTTTGCCATAATTCTTCGCAAACTTAACCTTACTCAAATTTGTATATACTTACGTGGGCCACTTGCGAACTCCGGTGCGCCACTAACTGGAACGCGTAGATTCGGCACATGCGGTCCGCGTGGCACAAAGCTTGGGTTACCGTATATGGGAGGCCTGTAGATTAAATATAAAAATAAAAAAATTAAAATTTGTAAATTCAAAAATAACCAAAGTGCATTAAAAACCTGTTGCTTACCGATATGGATTTAAATGTGACGTAGAATGACGCGCTGGCGGTGGCGGACCGCCATACATGCTGGCACCCATGCCGCCCGGCACATGGTGATCACCCGGCGCTGGATATGTCGGACGTTCGCCGACACCACCCTGCAACGGTGGGCCATGGTTTGTTAAAGACGAGGCGCTGCCACGCAATGGTGGCGGTGGCCCATAACTTTGACGCATACCATGTGGCGGCAGACCCGGCATACCGGGACCATCACGATGGCGTGGCATGGAAGGCGGTGGTCGATTGCCAGTTACTGCAGCTAGGGATGTAGGCGGCGCAAAGAAGCGGGCAACTGAAAGTAAATTAAAACAAAAAAAACAATTGAAATTCAGTGCAACAAACCGTGCATGCGCGTAAACTCACCATCTGCGCCAGGATATAAATTGCTCATAGCGCGCACGACACTTGCATGCGCGGCGGCCACAGGTAGCTGTGGCATACGCGTAATTACTGATGCTTGTGAGACTGTAGCGGCACTGCTGACGCTAGGCCCTTCTTGTTGCTTGTATAGCTGTGGCGGCAGCGCGTTGGCTGAGGCAGATAATGCCGACTTTATAACGCTACCGCTACCACCAGCGCCATTACTAGCGGTCGGTTCAGTTGTTTTATCCGATTGTGTTGTTGCTGCTGTGACAGCAGCGGCGGTTTGCTGTTTTTGCAATGTATCCCGTAGCGGTGTAATCTTTTTCCGTCTACCGCGCGGTTTAGGCTCTGTTTCGGCCTTATTGACACCGGCTGTAGGCGCCGGCGGCGCACTACTAGCACTCGCGCTGGCAGCGGGGGGACCACTCCCAGCGCTGCCGCTTGTCGCAAGCACATCACGTGCAGCAGGCGCGCCCGGCAATGGTTGCGTTGTGGGCGGGAGATTGTGACGTGCCGCAGCAGCAGTCATAAGATGTTGCGCGGCCAACATCTGCTCCACTGTCATGCCCGCCGGTAGACGCGGTAAATGTTGTGGCGGAAAACTGCTGCGGTTGAGTGGTTGACCAAGCGGCGCGTTAAGCGCGCTCTGTAGCAGATGTGTGGGTGGTTGCGCTGAAGGATGACGCTGTAGCAGATGAGCGAGTGGCATGTTCGCACCATGTGGTGGAAATTGATGACGTAGCAGTGGTGGATGCAACGTGGGCATCGGTAAGCGTTTGCGCATTGGTTCCTGTAAGCCGGACGCCAATGGTGACGACATGTGATGTGCGCCAGCAGCTGAGCTAGCGCCTGGCATTTGTGCGAGCGCGGCTAAGGCTGGGTTTATCAGTGAGGTTTTCTCTAGACCACCAGATGCAGTTATAACGACACTGGAAGTATTGGTAGGTAGATTGGCATGTGGTGTTGGCGCAACAGCTGGAGGCGCGCTTGATACCACTGGCGTTTCTTTGGATTTGTTCGTTTGCTTCGTCGGTGTGCGCAACACTTCGTCAGCTGGCGGTAAGTCACGTGCGGCCGCAGCTGCACTCAATTCCTCCTCCTCTTCCACCATACGTGCTATGGTATCCTCATCCATGTCCTCGGGGAAATCGTCCGGCAAATCGGCATCGTCGAATTCATCCACCTCATCGACATTATCCGAATCGCCGACACTTTCGCCTTTACGCTGCAGATATTCCGCATCCAATGCCTTGGCTTGTCGTATCACTGACAATGGCACTGTCGACAACGAATCACTCAGCTTGGCCGGTGAACGCTTGTCTTTGTCGCCATCCGCTTTGATCGGCGTGAGACGCGGTGTTGCGGCCAACTTTGCACCCTCAGCATTCTTTTCGGCCAACATACGTTTGATTTCCTCTTGACGCTGTATGAATTTCTGGCGCTCTTCGGGCGGTGTATCTGGACGTTTCACACCTGGTTTTATGCCGCCGTCCGAGCTCTCATCGTCGAAGTCTTCCAAGTATGCATAGCGGCGTCCACGTGTGCGTCGTGTGCTGTCTTCACTATCCGAAAAGCTATCCTCATCTTCAGACTGTTTCTTCTTCTTCTTCGATGCTGTCGTCTTGCCTTTACCTTTACCCTTGCCTTTGCCCTTCGTAGAGTTACTGGATTTGAGTGGTTGCGAACGCGGCTGTTTGCCCGAACCCTTGCCCCCAGTAATGTCATCATCATCGTCCTCTTCCTCCTCTTCACTTTCGCTAACATCATCGTCGGAATACTCAACGCGTTTGACTTTCTTAACCGGTTGCTTCTTCAGTTTCGGTGACTTGCGTGCCACGTTTGTGCTATTACCTTTACGTTGCTTCTTACGCTTCGACGGATACCAGGCGCCGTCAGATTCGCTTGTCGTATCATCGCACAAGTCAGCGCTATCAACGTCTTCGAGATTTTCGGAAGCCTCGGAGTCCGTCTCCGACTCAGAGCAATCCCATTCGTCACTTTTCTTTTTTTTCGACTTTGGACGATCTTCCTCCTCTTCGTCATCATCACTCTCGTCCACAACGAAGCGACGATCTTTGCGCCGCTCACGAATTGCACGTCGCGCGGCCTTCCGTTGTTTTTTATTTTTCTTGCCACGTCGTCGAAATACCTCCAAGCTCGAATCGCTATCGGTCGAAACAGAAATGGAAGTATCTTCTTCTTCATCATCGTCGAATGAAGAGGTTTTAAAATCTTCGTCGGACGCATTGTCCTCCTCGGAGCTAATATCCAAGGTGGTCAATTTGCGTGACTTCTTTTTGATAGAACTCTTCGGCTTCGCCTTACGTTTCAGCACTTCGTCTGAGTCATCGCCGTCGTCTGACTTCGATTTGCCATCCTCATTTGTTTGTTTTTCCTTATCTTTCTCGTTTTCATTTTCTGTATCTTGCTCTTCCGTTTTAATTGCATCTTTCTCATCTTTAACCACGGTTTCGTCCTTCTCCATTTGTCGCTGACGTGCCTTTTCCTCTTTATCAGCCTCCATTATAGTGGAGATGTCTTTACCGCGTCCCAAGTTGCCGGCACCCGCTAACTCATCCATTTCTTTCTTTAACGCCGAGTTGATAAGGTCATCGTATTCGTTTAGCCGATAACTGACATTGATTTGTCGTCGCTTGCGCAGCTTATAAATTGGCTCGTCATCACTGTCGGTTAACGAGGATGATGACGAAGAACCCGAACCGCTGCGCGAACCACCGCTATCGCTGCCCGACCTATGTGAGCCACTGCCGGTGCCACTATCCGAGTCATTGCGTTGACGACGTCGGCTAGCGATACCACGTGCGGCTGCGCGTCGACGGCTGCGCCCATCACCACGTCGTCGCTTGTGACTGTCACGATAGTTTTCGGTGCGTGATTTACGACTGCTGGTGCCTTTCTTCACCAACGGTTTATCATCATCGCTATCATCACTCTGACTAGCACTGCGTTTTTTGTTACGCTCCTCGCTTTTACCGTCATCGGTACTGCCACTACTGCCACTTTCGTCTTCATCATCCTCACCCTCCTTACCGTTTTCACCACGTCGTTTACTCTTCTTCTTATGCCTTTTACGCTCTTTTAGTTCCTTCTGCTGCTGTTTCTCATTCTCAAGCCGCACCTGCTCGGCGCGTTCTGCTTCGGCGGCCAGCCGTTTATTCTCCACCTCCTGCAAACGCTTCAGCTCAACAAATTCATCGAAATCATTTAGCTGTTTCTCCAAAGCGGCAATCAGCTGTTCTTGCTGGCAAGGCGGACAATACCAATCGCCTTCGGGTATATAGAACAACACAGGCGATAGACAAGAACAATGATAACCCTTGTCACAGTTATCGCACAATAGTATCCATTCGGGATGATCAGATTTACCACATTTTTGACAGGCTTCCTCATCGCCATCTTCACCCTCCTCGGCGTCTTCTTTGCGCGCGGTTCGCGCACGTTTCATAGGTACCACTTGCGTTTCGTCTTCTAAATCGGATTCCGGTGAGAATTCGTGATCTGAACGGAAGAGCGGCGAACCTGGATCGCTATACTGCGGCGGTTCATCTTCTTCCTCCGGTTCTTCTTGCTCCTCCGAACCCGAAGACCAACCATCTTTGCCGGGACACTTCTTTTTCGCCTTTTTCTTCAACTCCACCTCGCTTTCTTCGGACGACGATGGTTCTGACGGCTCTGCTACTGTGGGATCTGTCTGTTTTTCGGCCTTCTTTTTCTTCTTCAATTCCTGCTTCATGGTACGCAATGCTATCTCTTCCAGTTTGCGGCGTTCAGCCTCCTCACGTATTTTCTGCTGTGCGATGCGTCGCGATTGACGCACCGGCGTCTCAGAGTCGATAGTATCTATGATATTAGTGGCATCCACTTCACGTTGCTTGCGAGGCCCACGTCCACGTGCAGCAGCCGGCGTGCTTTCAGTCGTGTTCTTTTCTGCCATTGTTGTTTTGATGGGTGAAGGGGAGGGTGTGGACTTGACTGACGGCGTTTTTTCTATTTTTTCCGGCGTGGTTGTGGTTGAAGTTGCTGTCGTGCTAGCGTTCTTTACACTGGAAGCACTAGTTGTGGCGCCCTTTTTTTCCGGCTTGGACTTCGGCTATGAGTAAAAGTTTTTTTTTAATAAAAGTATAACATATTTGCAATTAGATTTAAGTTACCTCTTCGTTAACAATACTTGCTGACTCCTTTTTAGCATCCTTCTTTGTAGCCTTTAAAACTTTCGGCGTTGGCTTAGCTTTAGCTTTCACTTCCTTACAACTTTCCTTGGCTGTGGGTGTGCTACTAGCTGCTTTCTTAGCTGGAGCAGCTGGTTCCTTAGAAGTTGTTGTTACAATAGTTTCGTTAATTGTATTTTCGGCAGCAATACCACTGCTGGAAGACCTCGCCTTTCTATCGTTCGCACTAACAGACTCCACCACCACAGCCTTGACCGTCTCTTTGGCCGCCTCACTCTTCTTCTCTTCCTTTATGTTTGTCTTTTTGGGTGTTGCCACGGGAGTTGTTGCCTTCGCGCCACCTCGCGTACGCTTCGGTTGCGGCAATTCGGCATAAATGACCGTCGCAGCACTGCGTCTACTTGAGCGTCGCCCAACAATGGCCACCTCTGCAGCAGGTGATGGGCTCTTTTCTTTCTTCACCACGAGCTCCGTCGGTTTGGTTTCCTGCTCCACCAACGTCTCATATTTCATTTCCTTGTTACTCTCGGACTCATTCGCTCCAGTTACCTTCACTTCCTCACTACTGCGGCGCTTGCGTTGCCGCTCCGGTGTTTTACGATCTGGGGTTTTACGTGGCACACTTGCTCGTTCAGTGAACAATGGTTCGTTTACTTTGCGTTCGGGCGTTTTGCGTTCGGGTGTCTTGCGTTCGAGTGGCTTGCGTTCGAGTGGCTTGCGTTCGAGTGGCTTGCGTTCGAGTGTCTTGCGCTCGGGTGTCTTACGTTCGGGTGTTTTGCGTTCGAGTGTCTTCCGTTCTGGTATCAGCTCTTTATCCTCGCTGCTAGGTTGTGTTTCCAACTTTTTCACCGTTTCTGTGACGGCTGCAGTTGCGCCTGCATCGCTGATGGTACGTTTGCGTGGTATGGAGTCCTCATCGCTCTCCTCCTGTCGTAATTGTGTGAGTAAATTCTTTTTCAACGGTTTGGTTATTGGTGACTTTTTTGGTGGCGAAAATGTGGCAAACGGCGAATTCGTATCGTTAGCGTTTGTTGTTGTTGCTGCAACGGCAATTGTTGTGTTGGCTGTTGTTGAAAGCGCTGTTTCCACTTTTACTGTTGTTATTGCTGTTGCTTTTTCGCTAGACTTTTTCAGTTTCTTCTCGATGATTTCGGCAAGCGTCGGCTTTTGTCGGCCCGTTGTAGTGGTTGGTGTTGGTGTTGCGTGTACCGATGTTAGCGGTAATGTTGGTGCTGATGGTGGCATTGGTGGTACCACCGGTTTCGCTGCGCTTACAAATGGTAGCACTGTTGTTGTTGTTGTTACAGCGGGAAAAGCTGGCGGAAATGCTAACGTTGTTGTTGGACTGGTCAAATTCAGCGCCACACTCTTCTCTTCAACCACTGAAATGTTACTTTCGGCATGCTTTGCTGTTTGCGTTTGATTACACTCACGTTTAGCGGCCGCTTCTTGTGCTACTTTAAGATTTTTCACACAACGTTCAATTTGTCGACGTGGCGTAATGATTTTACGCCTACGTCGCGCATCCTCTTCACCACTCGAAGAGGTTGTCTCCTCAACGCATCCTTTTTGTGCTTCCACCTTCTTGCGGAGATCGGTATGTGTTATTTTCGGACGCATTTTTATGCGCTTACCACCTACATCTGCTGGATCATCGATATCATCTTCTGTGGCGAGCTCATCCGGTAGCTCCGAATGCAGTATATCCACTTCACTCTCTGATGTCGATAAACGGTGTGTAGCAGGTGCTGGCATATCCTCAAGACGTCGTTTGCGATTGATAGTGGTAGTATGTGGGGTGGAGGTGGCGGTGGTGCTGGCACAAGTGTTAGCGATCGGTACGACATTAGTGATCGGTACGACATTAGTGACCGGCACAACATTAGTGACGTCATTGCCGATTAATTGTGTAGCGGCGGTTGAAATGTTTGGTTTAGTATTTTCCAAATCAGTTTTTGAGTTTTCGCATTTAATATTTGTTGTTGGCAAGGTTTTAGTTTCGACTTGCTCGCTGATATCGCTTACCGGTGGAGCGTCTGTTTCAGTAGACGGCTCTTCAGTTTTAGTTTGTTCGATTTCAACAGTTACTTTCGGTTCACAATTCTTATTTTCTATTACTAACTCGGTATTGGCGTTAACTTTAGTATCTACTGGTTGGGCAATAACATTTACGGTTGTGTTTTTAATTTCGTTATTTTCCGCTGTTGTTGTGGACTTTGGTAGTACGATATCTTTATCTTCGTCATTGCTAGGAATTTCAGCCGTTTTGGCCTCATTAACATTAGTTGTAACGGTATTTTCACTTTGTATAATTTCTACATTTGCTTTAACCTCAACGTCTTTATTTACATCCGGTTTGTCGGTTAAATTATTTTCCTCTAAATCGCTTTTTTCCTCCTGCTTCTCAGCAGCTTCAAGGCCGTTTCCAGTTTTCTGATCCTCAGCTTTATTTTCGTTAACACTATTTTCGATATGCTCTTCTTTATTCACTGCCAGCTTTTCTTCTGTCTCTATATTATTTTCTGCTTTATCATTAATCGCCACATTTTCTTGCGGTTCGTTCACTTTTTCTTCACAATTTTTAGCACATATTTCCTGCTCTTCACTTATATTCTTTTCTACAGGATTTTTGCTACACTCGACATCGTCACCGTTAGCCGTCACTTTCCCCTCTAAATCTTTGTTATCGTGCGGTGCCTTGTCCTTAGTACTATTCTCCTCGTCCTTTTTCTTTAAATCTATATTATTTGCTTGTTCACTACTTTCTTTTGCAATTTTTTCGGCAACCTTCTCCACTTCTACATGCTCGCTGGCTTTCTCATTCGCCGCATTTTTAACTATTTCACTTGTATCGTCAACAACCTGAGTATTTTCGGCATCATCATCCCCATTATTCCCTTCATCTATTGCTTGTTGTTGTTTCATCGGACTGAGTTTAAGGCAACCAGGTTCACCAAAGAAAAATGTTGCCTTTGGTTCATTTGTTTTTGTGGGTGTCGTCGGTGTGGTTGTTGTTGTTGCTGTTGCTGCAGTCTCAACATCATTTTTGCCATTACCAACTAAGCATTCAGCACCAGTTCCTTCACCGTATATGTAAAAGGTGGCTTCTTCCACAACTTCACCCACAATTGCGTCTGGATATGGTTCATCGCAAGCTTCGTCGTCGTCGCCGCCAAAAAAAAATGTGTTTAGAAAAAATTGCTTATTTGTGTATACGCCTTCGCAGTCTTCGCCAGCACCCTCACCGCGTACTATAAGTGTGGGTTCTTCAATGGCTTCACCAACTTCATTCAACTCTTCATCAGAGTCACCATCTGAGTCTTCTATTTCTTTTTCCTCATTTTCATCTTCTTCGGCCGCTGCGCTATCTATATCCTCTTCTTCAATGGATAACTCTTCTTCATCAACGTCATCCTCTTCATCTTCGTCATCCTCCTCACCCTCTTCCTCTTCTTCGGATTTAGTCTTCTCATATCTACTTGGCTTTTTGGCGCGATTCACATCCAAAAGTGAAGGACGCGCTTTTTTGATTATATTTAATTCTTCACTACGTGGTGAGCTTTTCTCGACATCATCCAGACAACGTTTTGTTGCTAGCGGTGTTGTTGTTTGTGTTGTGATATTTGGAGACGTTACGGCTAATTTACCATTATTTGATAATTTTATACGCAAATTTGGTATACGCGCTTCTTCCTCCTGAGAGTCGTCTTGTTCTTCTGGCGGCGGTGGTTTTTCCACTTGAGCTGTACAACTGTTACTACTACTGGTATCTTCATCAACACCAATATCCGTAGAGGGCAACACCACTTCATTGCCGCGCAGTCGGGATATGAGATTAACTAATTCTTCACGTGTCGTAGCGACAACTTGCCAAATTTCCTCGTCTAGATGTTCCTGATATACGCGCAAATTGCCATCAGCATCCTGTGTAAAATAGTAAGTGTGCCCCAGACGATCACGTCCTATAGGTTGCGAACGTAATGAATCAGCACTCATTGTCAGTATTTGTGCACGAAACTTGCCATTCCGTTGAAATTGACTTTCAAGCAACTCCTGCAGAACGTTTAGAAACATATAAAATTTACCATATGATTATAACTGCAGTTGAAATTTGTATTTTATGCTTACCCTGAAAATTCTTAGTTTTACTTTTAAACTTGACTTTTTATAGCCAAAACGTTCTACCTCCCATGCATCCTGTGCAGAATAGGTGAAACAGAATTTACTCAGCGCTGACTCCCAACTTTTCTCGTGCACGGTTTTGCGCGTTTTACGTAAAAGTTTTATGTGTAGATCACGCAACTGATCGGTGACTAAAAAAATATAACCATATATAAATATCTTTGAATTAGAACAACATAACAACACTTACCTTCATCTGTATTTGTAAGCCACTCTTGCAAATGCTTGAAATTCGGTAATGGTATACCCAAATCCTTGGCGAACTTTTGCAGGAATGCACATATTACCGCGAAATCTGGATCGTTGGCACAGGAACGTAGTGTGGTATTAAGCGCTTCCTCCTCACCCTCTTCGTTGCAACCATCTTCTTCTTCTTCTATTTTCATTTCGCCCGCTTCGGCTGATGACGCCGATGTCGACGCCGCAACCGCTGCTGCAGCTATCATCGACGACGCCATCTTTCATGCAATTTGTGTTCTCCACTACCACCACGTTTCGCCGACTACCGATCAACTAAATTTTGCACCTACAAACACACCACGCAGCGTATAGCGATACCTTCCTCAATGTTTTTGTTATTATTTTTAAAACTAATTTTCTGCTTCTGCTTATATACCGCTCGGTCAGCGTCGAATGGCGCTGCTTTGCTCGACGCCACTGAGCTCGTCTTTGATCTACTCACTCACACGCTCAATCGTTGGTTTTTTCGTTGCCTTCCTTAGAAAAATTTCTCATTGGCAAAAACTTCTCGACTTCAATATACCGACCATGAAAAATGCAAAATTTCAGCATAAATCGTACATCTAATAACACTTTTTATATTTTACACAATACACAACATCTTTATACAACTATATGTATAATTTTCAAATGGATATTTTGTACAAAATCCAAGTAATTTTCTAAAAAACAGCGCAGCACACAAAAAATAACAAATTTTCTACCACAATTCTTCAATTCTCTTTCGGTAATGGAGAATGATTAGTATCCAAGCGTGTTGCCGGATCGTTGAGTTATCGATATATGCGTTAAAATTCATAAAACGCATAGCCAGTCTTTTTAACACAGAAAACATGTTAAATCATTTTAATGAATCAGAAATTTCGATTTAATTGAAAATGGTTACCGCCCGAGCTGAACACATACAGGGTTGTATTTCTGCGTATCAGCCAGTAGGGTATTGTATTCTTATATATTTAATGTGCATACATTGGGCTTAGAAGGGAAAAAAACCGCGGGCCTCGGATGACTGTAGTCAATTGTTGGAGAAAAAAATCTGGAAAACATTGTTGCCAAACAACGGGCACTCTGAAAACTCCGCGTAAAGAAGAATTTGGACCCGATCTCACTATATTCATTGACGAGTTTGTATATTTTATTAATATTATAGCGTTTTATTGCAAATATCATAACTAATCATTTAGCACAAATGTTACTATGCAAGAATTGTATTACTTACCTTAGATATTACTTTGATAGCATACAACCTTTAAATAATATGTGGAGCTCCCGAATACTTTTTGGTGTTACCACACATACCTTATGGACTTGCGAATTTACACTAAGCTAACTTATCGATAACAACCTAACAAAATTCCGGCACAAAGCGGAAACAAACGAAGAAAGAAGAATTCAAAATTTAACAGAAAGCGGGAAATTGTAATGACATCAATTAAAAACATTAAGAAAGGTTTTTTTATTACGCGAAATATTAAATTGGGTGTGGAATTTCTGGGATACCTTCACCTTCAATTGTCGTTTATTGACATATGGTAAAAGCCAATAGCGTGAACAGTTTTGCGCAAATTTCAAGTGATCAATATGGGTCAAATCATTTGCTAGGGAGATCAAGAATCTAGTATTGAAAGTTCTTTAATGAAGGTCACGCCGACAGTATTTTTAACACACACTCTAAATCAATGAATTGGCCGAATAGTCGACTCCTTATGACAGCAGGCACCTTATGCAAAAACTGAGCAGCAAAATAAGAAAATAATTGAGACAAGACTGGCGGCAAACTACGTACAAATCCTTCATGAATAGCTCAGTGGGTAATGGCCGTTTTGGCAGTCCCGACTACATGATTCTATTCTTCATTTGGGAAAGAAAATTCACAGTAAACTTAGAAAGAGATGGTTGCTGTAAAGTAAGTAAATAGTAGCTGCTCGCAACAAATTAAACATTTATGAGGATGGCTCGAAAATGGAAGACGGAGTGGTTGGGAAATATACTATCCGGAGTTAAGCACAATGCAGCTTTTTAAATTGTCGAAATAATACAGTATATTTTAAGCTAATGTTTTAGCTATTGGAAACGCCGCGGAGCTAGCCTCTAACACATCATTAGGTAATTCTAGTGATGATGTATAGGTGGACAGCTAAGTAGCAAACAAGGTAATTACATTGTTTCTCATATCAGCCAAGAGTGCCTTGGTAAGCAAGGCAGCAGCGGACAGGGTCGCCAACAACAAGCGGCTTAACTTCTTCTGGGTACAAGCTCACAAAGGCACTGAAGGTAATAAGATAGTGTGCGAGCTTGCCAAGAGTGGTGTACGGCTGTCATCCGGAAACGTGACAGACATTGGTAAATCGATGCATTGTCGGTACGACAATCTAGGCAGGATCATGACAAGGAAGGTCAAAACGCGATAGAATAACTTACCCGGCTGTAAAACTGCAAAAGTCATGTGTAAAGATAGATCAGAAATATCCGAAGTTCCTACTGCACATTTTGTGCACTTGTCCCGCATTGGTTTTGACACTGAAACAAACCTTAACATCTTACCTATAAAGTTAATTTGAAAGAATGGAAAGCTCCCTGAGGCAATAGGTGATCTAAATTTCGTTTCCTCAACATATTTTAAGCTTTATTTTTATATGTATGCCAAACGGCTATTGAACGCATAGAAAGCAGAAAAGAGTGAAACTTTTATCGTGAGAAAACTGAAAGAAGTGTCGGGGGAAAGTGACATTGGTTCAAACCTTGGTCAAAGAAAATAATCTGTAAATATTGTGAAGGAAATAGCTTCTTACAAAATCCATCATAAATCAGGATTGCTCATTGGTTCGTAGATCAAAAGCTTAGGTGACTTAACTAGCTGGTCGGGTTGCTAAAAGATGCAATATACTTGTAGCAAGGTTTAACAAGACTCAATATTATCTAATGGCTGCTGGAGCACCATTTACCATCTGTATAGTTGAAGAAGACGGAGTGAGAGCGCAGGTAAATTCATTTAATTTACCTCTTGTGCTTACATACATATAAACACAGTACGTATTTGCAGACGTAAACATATTTGTTAGCTGAATCATTTTTTTTTTTGCAAATGACCTGCTTTTTTACTTTTCTTCTAATGAATTACGCATACACTGCTTGCCACTACAGTTTTTAAGAGCGCCAAGTAGTCTTAGAAATTAAGAGACACCGTTGGTAGTACCAAAGAGCATAAGCTGTGCGATTTCTTAACTTCTACCTATTAAGCAATCACTCCGCAGCGCAGCCGTGTGAAAAGGTAAGAGCGAAAGTAAAAAAAATTAACAAAAATTATTCGGAGAGTCAAAACGCAAAGGAATTACGTATTTACACAGGTAAAGCGCATTATATACATACATACATGTATTTACGTTGCAGCAATACCAACTCATGATGAAATAGGCATCGCAATTAGCGACTATCTAGTCAATGTCCTCTAGCAAGCGTTAAAAATTGTGCGAAAAAAAACGAGTAAAACCGGAAGATTGAGAATGCTGACGATAAGCAGCAAACTGCGCTAGGAACCAAGATAAGCCAACCAACAACCAATAGTACTCGCATGCCGTGGTGCTCGCCATTTACCAAATGCGCGATACGCCTGGATCCAACAATCAGTTGCTCACGAGCTGTGAACAAAGTGTATTCGTTATATTTTTTAGCTGCGCAAAACAACACTTGAATTGACGTATTTCCAAAATAATACATAACTAAATGTTTAAAGGCAAATTTACAGACAAGAAAAAAAGCAAAACAAAAATCATAAAATTTTGAAGATAATAAAATAAAAATTTGCGTATAGAAGTGTCAAATAAAGTCAAATAAACTAAAATAATTGCTCATTACATTTTATTGTGTGTGTGAGTGTGTATAAATATTCCTCTATTTTCTATTTCATCGCCCATAAATTGTGCACAGACATTAATCGTCTATAAATATATATTGTAAATAAAAATAAAAAAACTTCAAATTAACAACAACAACTTATTATTGCGGCTATAATAGCAGCCTTTTTCCGTGAATTATTAAAATTATACCCACATACAAACCATACACACGCACACAGCTGTTGTGTTCCCAACTCGCTTCGTAAATTACATGCCAAATAACGTGCACAAACAAGTATATTTTAAAACGAAGAAAATATAAATTACTTGCATTGTGTGTTATAAAGGTGATTTGTTGTTTTTGTGTGTTTTTATTTTTTTAATCCAGCGCAGTTACCAAGGTGTCAAACGTAACACTGTATAACACCGGGGAAATAGCAGTGCCAATTCTCAATGTCGAACCTACAAACGGTAAGTGAATTTGTCATAAAAAATAAGAAGAGAAACAAAAAAACATGACAAATATACACACACATGTGTGCATACATAAAAGCGTATGTAAAAAGATTATCGTAAAATCACCTAATCACACAACGGCTAAATAATATTCTAGCTATCGGTTGTTAAAATTCACTTACATATGTACATGTAGTGGTTAGGTGGCAGGTGCGTAATTTGTTTATTTATTTTAAATTTGTTTTCGACCTTTAGACATTGAATTTTCAATGAGTGACGTCGCATGCGTGAAAAGCAAAAACAATTTTTATTTGTTTGCGTGCAGATAATTGGAAAAAAATTGCAAAAACATGAAGCGATTTGCATAACATATAAAATTGTAAATTCTTAAAATTGCAAATAATTCCACTATTATTAAATAAATAAAATTAAATATTAAAAAATTAAAAATTTGTAATTTCATATGTTTTATCTAATTTTTCTAATTAACTGTATGTAATCTAATGAGAATTTCTTACTAATAATTAATTAAATATTATAAATAATTCTATTACTAAAAATAATACAAATTTGTAATTTTATATGCATGTTTAATGCAAGTTTTTCTTATTAACATAGAGTTAAAAAACAATTTTTTAAATAAATAAATTACTAATAAATCATTAAATATTATAAATTATTCTATTATTATTAATAAAAACACAGCAATAAAAATTCGTAATAGTTTTATGTAAATTTTTTGCATATTTGTATCTAAACAATAACACTATTTAAGAAATAAATTACTAAAAAATAATTAGATATTGTAAATAATTTTGCTATTCAGTAACAAAAAGCACAGCCAACAAAAATTGAATTCAATGGTTATATGACGATACAATTTTTTCATGTAACTGTTATTGTAAAAACTTAAAAAGAGATTAAGCTTATTTAAAGCCGAATTAAATATATTACAATAAAAAAACTTAACCTAAAAAAATGTATTACTTAAATATTATACCCTGAATAGAGTATGTTAAGCTTGTCATGAAATCTGTAACAGCCAGAAAGAAACGACGGATATCCATATAATATAAATGTATATATAAGTGTGAGTCTATTTAGCCATGTCCGATCTAAACAATTAGAATTATCGGAGTTTGTAACGTTGCCTTTGACAATAGTCAATCCAAATTTTGTGTTAAAAAAGTTTCTACACAAGAATGATTTTGATCGGTTATCAGTTTTTATGGCAGCCTATAGTGGTCCAATATCGGCGATTCCAACATATGAACAAAAGAGGGCGTGTGCAAAATAGCAGATCGATATCTCAAAAACTGAGGGACTTCTTTGCGTATGTGTGGACGGGCGGACAGACGAACATGGCTAAATCGACTTAGCTCGTCAAGCGATATTTATATATGTAACTATATACTTTATAGAGTCTCCGGGGTTTCCTTCTGTGTGTTACAAATTTCGTGGCTAACTTAATATAGCCTGTTCGGGATATAATTAGGGTATTAAGTTGAGAATTTATTAATCAAAAGATTACGAAACTCAAACATACATATTATATGTTCTCTGAGCGTATGCAGAATACTTTGCATGATAACTTTGCTGGAATATTTCCAGAACTTTTATGTTTATTGTTGGAGTGGATTTTACTCATACGTTCACTTACAGATCTACTATTATTGAAAGTATATAAAATTAAGAAAATATTGTAGAATAGTGTAAATACAATAATCTTGAGAACTTGTATATTAAGTAAAATAAACGCAAGTTTTGGTTTACTGCTTGTTCTAAAATCATTTACTTCTTCTAAATATTTTGTTATCAGTCTGGCCTAACCTAACTTTGTGATAAGCTTTTTATGAGTTCTAATTTTTCTTTTCCTATATGAATGAACTCTAATCTAGTGTTGAGCAGTTAAATTTCCGCAACCGGTAGTACAAAAGTGCATGCATAGAGGCGCCATATTATAGTTATATACTTGGTCATATCAATAAGTTCATTGAGATTAGCCATTTCATATTTAGAAGAAGTGCTCGTGTTCCCTTAAAACTTTAGCTCCCAACAGCATTTAAGCTTGTATGGAAAACTTTTTCACTTAACGAGATATCTTTACGAAATTTAGCATGGGTTATAGTCTGAGTCAATGGTGCAATCTTACAAAAAATTGTTCAGATCGGATGAATATAGCATATAACTGCCATACAAACTGAACGATCGGTATCAAGTGCTTGTAAAGAATATTTTGTGTTTGTGAAGGGTATTTATTATAGCTTCAGTGCAAACGAAGCTAAAGTTTTTTTCTTGTTTTTTAATTACTAATTAAATTCATAAATATGTAAGAAGTTTACACTCAACTAGAACTCTTACAGTTGGCCAGTAGAATGCCAGTTATCTCGAGTTCATTAACAGTTTTATGTGTTGAAACTGTTTATCTATAGGAAACGAATTTTTTATTGTAAGCAACAATAGAGTAAATCGTTAATTAATTTTTAGTTTTGGTTCGCAAATTCTTAATTGTTTATCTTGTGATCTTATCAAAAAAAAAGCTCTTGAAACACTCCTCGTGATAAATTGACGTACACCTCCAGCAACTGGTATGAAATTAGATTTAGTGTACGGCCTTCTGCGATGTAATATTTTAAGTGGTTTGAGCGTCGTTGGAAAAAATGGAAAAATACTGTGAGATCGGATAACGAATGCGCGTGGGGTTGATGAGTTTACAGTCATGTTAAGAAGCTGATTATTTTGATGTTTACATAAATATTTCTATCTATGAAGCCATGAGAGGTCAACTGAAATAAGAAACTATAAAAAATTTAGCAGATACTTACTTTGTAGAGATTAAAAAGTCAGAATTAATTTCGAATTGTTGATTAAACTCAAATTTGATTCGAAGCACATCTTTATTTACGAGATCTCGTAGCTAAATTTGGAATTTGCGATGATCTTTTATGTTTTGAAGCTGAAACATGGTACAGAAAATAAGTACGCCTCAAATCCGGGTTAGTCTAAATCAGAAGATTGCTTACTTCGCTATTCTAGCATTTAATATTCCAAGTATGATTTTTTCTCGCTTGGTCAAGTTTTTTCATCATGAAGATATACGATAAACCGGGAAATGCTGAAAAATGCTTCAGGTGGATTTTGTTTTGAAGCTGATTTATAAAGCTTATTCGAAGGCATCTCTATTTCAAATGACTAGTTTCATAAAAAATGTCTTGATCTGCCCAAAATATTGCTTGGCAACGCGGTACCTCTATTTCATTTATGGAAATGGACAGTCTAGGTTCATAACGCTTCACAAAATGCCAAATGCAATCAAATAAAGAAGATTTTCTGGGAAACATGTTATCTTATATTTGAGTTTTTTTTTTTCTTAAGGCTTCGTTAGTGAATTATCGCACCATTTGGTGTTGTGACACTCTCAAGATTTGATTACTTTGTGCCCCTGAGCGGCATATATATTGTAATATGGATCGGAGGTGCTCCTGAAGATCGGCTACGTGATAAAGCAAATACGATTTTTCAAAATGAATCATCGTTTAGTAAAGAAATTATGTAAATATAGATTTTTTACTTATTTATTAAATAAAATGTCTCTTCGAAAAAAAAAATCATAGAAAAACGAGTTTTTTCTGGCTTCCACTACCAAACTCTTAAACCGTTTTTGTTTTCGAAAAGAAATGTCATGTTGTTCTCATTTATTCGCATAGTAAGGCATAAAGAAAATATTATACACTGTCATATATATGTATGTAGAAATAATTAATTATCAAGTGCATATGGTTAAATTCTGGTTAGGCTATTGATAGTCTCACGCTTATTTACATCAATGATTGACGTTACACGACACATGACACATCCGGCTAACATAATAACTTGTAAACAAATATTTGAGAACTGAAAACCTGTATACTACATACATATGTATATATGTATTTATATATATGTATGTACTTAATAGCCAGAAGCTGTTACGAATTATATTACATTGGATCAAAAATGACACGGACTGACAAAATTAAAAAAATATAAATATAAAAGTATATATATTTTCACATATTTTAATACAAATATTTATTATCGAAATAAAAGTAGGCTCCTTTTGACACAATACAAGCAGGTCAATGCTTAATCCAATTTTCCATACACTTGTTATAAGCCTCGGCTAGGATGGTCTTCAGTGCCTTCAGCGAATTTTTGATTTTTTGGTTTCGGCTTAATTTTAAAGCGTCATTCGCTAGATTGTTGGACAGCTTCGAGAACATATTCATAAACCTACGTCACATCACCAGTAATGATAAGTTTGATAAAGCTATTCTATTATGTCCTCTCTGGACCACCTTGTGCTCCTGATGAAGTTCATGAATACATCTGCTGGCACGTCGCGAATTTGACAATTAACATACCTGTTAGTACTCCTACCTTTGTTCTTATGTCATTCCTTTTGAATTTTAATAGTCGGCATGTGCGCCCGTATTCAGTTCATGCCACGATTGCCCGCTTGTTGAGCAAGTTACCGATTGACGCCACCGAGACACAGCTATATGTATTTATAACAAGCTTACCGATTAAATATCTACAAGCAGCCAGAAACATATACCATAAATTCCCGCTCTTTCGGAGTCGAATTGCCGGGTGGTGCCTGCTCTGGCTAGTTCATCTGCCTCACAGCTACCAGGAATACCACAATGTGCTGGACCCATAGCCACCACTGCAGGTTTACCGTAAATTGGATGTTAGATTCACTAAGAGATCAAAGCATTATATTTTCAATGAAACCCCAAGATAATTTAATGATTTCAAGGCCACTTGTCTATCAGACAAACAGCTGGTTGTACTTCTCTAATAAAATCGATACTAATTTTTATCGCTTCGGCTAACGCGCGTAGTTTAAATGGATCCGGGTCAATTTTTATTGCTGGTATTAATTTAACTATTCGATAATTCGTTATGAATTCGCCTTGCTCGTTTGCTAAAAGTTATACTTGGTCTAAAGTGCTTTCTTGCTTTTGCTAACGAAACTGCGGGGAAAATTTTCCATTGATTCAATCACCTGGCATGCGTTAGCTTATAGAATTGATTATAATAAATACCGTAAAGTCTCTAAGTTTTTATTAATTAGAATTGTTATCTCTCTTTGTTAACGGTAAATATTTGCAATAGTATTAGCATTGAAATCAATTATTAATAACAATAAAGTTGATTGCAATTCAAATAACTTAATTATTTACTATATAGGTATGTATTAATAATATGTGTTAATAGTAAATATTTATTCTATATAAACATAAATTTATAATTATGTTTATATTATAAAAAGAAAATAATCGCATTACTTTGAATGCTGGCAATAAGAATTGTTGTCAAAAAATTAAACATATATGTGATATATGTATGCATGTATGTATTGTATATATAATATATGTGATATATGTATGTATATACAAGTTGATATGCACATATATATTTTTTAAGAAAAATATAAATTTTAATCAGTTTAGATACTTTCAATAACTGCATATGTCTTATTTTATTCTTCTCAAGCGTCTACATATCGAATGTGAGAAGCTCCGATCCTACTATACCTGTCTGCATACCGGAAATATCGGTAAATCTGTAAGATATCTTTATGCAAATAAGTGGGTATCTTTACTTGATAATAATGTAGTCTAGGCTAATACTAAAAAATGTTGAAATTAGTGCATATAGCCTCCTAATCTCCATATACCTTATATAACGCTTTTCGCACTTCTGATTGATTGTAATCCACTCACAATTCAACCAAATAACTAATGCTGAATTCATGTGCAAACCTTTTTTAACATCTGAAAATATTTCAGCGCCTTTGATACCAAAGCCGAGAGTTAGACTCCACCCAAACTTTGCCATTCCTTACTTTTTTTTTTGTTATGAGTATAGAATTATCCAAGGTTAAAAAGGAACTGTATTGGATTTGAGTCCATGATCAATATCTACTGGTATTACAGTATAAAAATGACTGAGTGCGGGCTCATTTATTTTCTAGAAGTTTTGGAAGAAGTAAGATGACTAAGATTGAAGGAAAATAAAGATTTGAAGAAATAAAGATAAAGAATAATCAAAATTTTATAAATTCAATAACAATAACGGACGTTATCCAAATATTGGATTAAGTGCCTAACTGATATTCGTGAATTCTATAAATTCCTGCATAAGCTTAAAACTTTTCTCGCAAAGTAAAAGATTCGCCAGATTTTTGCTAATACTAATTACTGTTGTACAATACATATAGGCTAACAGGCGAAGCTCTATCGAAGCGAACTCCAACTTTCGGGTCTCAAAGCTACAAGTTCTGAATAAATTTAGAATACTTTCGCAAAGTAAAAGCTTCGACAGATTTTTTTAATGATTATTACTGTTTTATATGCTTTTAGATTAAGCTAACTTCAACAGACATACAGGTCTGAAAGCTTTAACATTAATTGCTGCTAGGCGGGAACGGACTGATTGACGAGCTTGCTCGCTCTGCAGTTACTTTCGTAAGCCTGAACCCCATACCATAAAGGAGCTGCTTCGGTGGAGGAAAGAGTGGGTAGAGCAAGAAATTGACGACAATTTATAGGCTTATCCACCATGGCAAAGTTGTTAATGGCTGGTTACAACCTCACTAGAATCAAAAAGTATAATTAACCTCCTCAGAGACAAATTCCGAATGCTCGTAGTATTTTACATATGGCAATGAAGGTTCAAGCAGCACCTATTCAACATGCGGATAGCCTTAGGTGACCATATTAGTCCCGGAAAAATCCGGGACAGTTTTTTTAGTCATCGATTTTGTCCATATTATAATTCACTGAAATCGCGACACATAATAGGTGAGAGAGCAACACAATTCCCGTGATGGCCGGGACGCCTAACTCGGAATCCGAACTGTCCCGGCCAAGCTAAATCAGCTAAATATAGCCTCTTGTGCTAATCTGATTCTAGACTGCACAACATCTGAATATATAAGTATATATCTGAATAGGGGTCACATCGCCCCAACGCCGCTCACTAGGATCCTTGAATTCATCAGAGTGTTGGGCCTATGTGACAAAGGGGAGGGCACAATAGACCTTAGCTCGCAGTGCAAGTCTCAATTTATTTCTATCTAACTATCAATTGCTGATATTCTCAGAGAAATTTAAGATGGATATCAAAAAGAAACAGAGTAAGCGAGGTTTTTCGAAGTAATATATCTGTGCTGAAAGCTTTAATGGAGAGCATATTATTCAGATCTGTTTGGATAACTGTTAATGGTAATTTTTAAGAAAATATGCCAGAAAATGGTTTTAGAGATCCTGAAGATGCTGCGATTTCCATCACGTTATATTCGAATAAATTTTAACATCTATAAGGAGCGTTTAACCCTGAAATTACAAACCTTGTTTCTGACAGTCTTTATAAGAATGTTTCTTGATATAAGTAACCCAAAACTTCTATAGCAGTTTCCCAACAACCGCTATACTAGTTAACTAACGAGTTTGCATATATCTATTAATAATTTACCACCTAATATAGAATTTTCTTTATCTCTAACCAAATGCCGTCATTCGCCATAATTCCACTAAACATTTTTGAGTGATAAGGTAATTAATACGTACATTGTTTTTTAATATATATACATTTAATTGCAGGCTTCTCTAGAAGAAATTCGCGAATTTGCTTCGCGCCTGTGTCGCGACTACTTGACTGGCCGCTGGAAAACGATCAGCCCGGCTGATATCATTGTCAAAAAGATTAAGTGAGTTTATAAAATTTAAGTCCAAATTATGGTTATTAAGTATGCATACGTATACTTTAATCTTTATGAAAGCGATAAATCTAAAAAAAATCCCCAATTCTACAGTGGCGGCTTGTCGAACTTTCTGTATTATGTAAGTTTACCGACGACTGACAATAACTCACAGTTTATCACACAAAATTCCACAGCACCACAAGGCAGTGAGGACTATCTTCGATTAAACGGTGATAGTAGCGACTTCTTAACCAGTGAAAACAATAATGAGGAACCTTTAGTGGTTCGACGAAAGTCGAATAGTGAACCAAATGAGGTAAGTAATTTTGCTTGATCTCTTATAATCAGTGTTTCCTTAGAGAGATTGCTAGAAATTTAGTGAGTAATAAAAGCGATTGGCACGAGTAAGACCTTACAGAACCGTGTATAGCTTCTCAGCTTGTATTGGTATAAAATATATCAAGAAACATCTGGTATACCGCAATTTTCGACCACTATCAAAGCTTTCAAAAAGGCACTCAATTTTTCGAAATAATTCAAATTTCGTTATAGGTTTTACTGCGCATATATGGCGAGGTACATGGCGAGGAGGATGATGCTTTGGGTGGCATTATCACCGAATCCGTTGTCTTCGCATTACTGAGCGAAAGGAATTTCGGTCCAAAATTATATGGCATATTCCCTGGCGGCCGTCTCGAGCAATACTTAAATGTAAGTTAATCTGGAAATCTGCTAATAGTTTGTATTGAAACTATTTCAAAATAAAATATATATTTTTTATAATATTTTTGACATCTACAGGCTCGCGCTCTACTTACATGCGAATTAGCGATACCGAAAATTTCAAAGAAAATTGCCGAGAAAATGGCCGAAATACACACCTTAGATATACCAATGTCAAAAGAGCCAGAATGGCTCTGGAATTGCATTGACCGTTGGCTCAAAACGTTAACTGGCATTTTGTCACGAACAGACTGGTGAGTAACATAGAACAATGTATATGAAAACAGTAGTTTAACTTTAGCGAGCGCGAACTATTAGTTTAAAAATCTGTGATTAATCGTAATAGATTCTCAAGCTACGGTAAAAATAGTACTCTCAATTTTTTATTGCTATAAAAAACGTACAACCTCTTAGCGGGTTCTCTTATGCGTTCTTATCATACGCATTGACAGCGTCGTCAGCGGTAATGAACGTTAAATCAAGTATTTATGAAAATTCTTCGTAGTTACGTGATTAAAGTTTGTAGAAGACTGTGCAATGCCTAGTCAAACCAATTAAGTCTAACCAGAAGAAGCAAGAAAAATAAATAATATATTATTTTTTTATTAATATTAAGGTGTTTTTAACATATAGCCTTCTTAGTACCTGATGGCTGAGATTTTTACTAGGTTAAGATGAATGAGAATCTCAGCGCTAGAGGAAAATACAAATTTAACATTTTTAGTCTCTTTTGAAGAAAAATTTCGAAAACAAAAGTGAATAGGAAGTAAAGATATAAGAAATATATGAGGAGAATAAGTAACCATCCTCTTTCTCATGACCTAATTTTAAAGCTAACCTCAAACATTTATAGTAAATATTTTCATTACAGCATTTTGTTGGATTTTTAGGCTCATTCAAGTAAAAAGAAAAATTTCAAAATTTTTATTAAGGTTTTAAAAAAGCTTTTTGAAAAAATATGCCACATTTTATATAAATGATAGGTGAGAGCTCACGTCCAAATATGTCTCCATAAGCCGAATAAAATCATATGAGGATGTTTTATCATCACTTTTCTATACCTTGGGAAGAAGTAAACGTCGGAGACCCTATAAAATATAGGTATATGTATATAAATGATCAGCGTGGCGAGCTGAGTCGATTTAGGCATGTCCGTTTATCCGTCCATCTGTATATATACGTAAATTGGTCTCTCAGTTTTTGAGATATCGATCTGAAACTTTGCACCTCTCCTCCCCAAGAAACTGCTTATTTATCGGAATCACTTATACTGGACCACTATAGCATATAGCTCCTCCCTAAGTCCTTGTGTGGAAAACTTTTTTATTTGTCAAGATATCTTCACGAAATTTGGCATGGATTATTTTCCAAGAGAACGCAAGAAACTTCGAACAAATGGTTCATATCTATAGCATATAGCTGCCAAACAAACTGACCGATCAAAATCAAGTTCTTGCGTGAAAACTTTTTTTATTTGTGAAGGGTATTATAGCTTTGGTGCAGCCGAAGTTTTTGTTTTTTTTCTTGCTTTTTACATATTAATAATAATTTTCTTATTTTAATTTCAAAGGGGTGATAAAACACCATTGGTGGATGTGGTGCGCAATTTCGATTTCCGCAAAGAAAAGGCCTGGCTGCAATCTGTCATCAATGAGGGCAACTACAAAGTTGTTTTCTGTCACAATGATATGCAAGAGGGCAACATACTTTACTCCAATTCTAGCAACAGCGATAAGACAAGTGGAGCGAGGTTAGTACTAGATATATGTACATTAGGGTAGGTAAAAAAGAACTATTATTTTTTTCTTTATACTCTGAACAATTGGTTAGTAGATATCTCAAAAAAATTAACTCCAATTAGAAGCTCTTAATATTATATTAGTTAGAAGTCCTCCATTTTCCAGTTTTCTATTGTTTCTCTATTATTGTAAAGATGAATTTATATCTCAGTATTTACCATTTGAAAACCTATCTCGTCTTTTAAGTTTGCAGGAAATTGAATTCTCTACAAAAATGGTCTAGCAACCAATTTTTCAAAGCATAAAGTGAAGATATAATAAATTTTTTGACACACCCTAGTATATATATAATATAATATATTTTATGTATATATATATTTAATTTTTCTATGCAAACAAGTTGTTTATATGAAATATCACAATTTTCTTCTATTATTTTGTAAACAACGCAACAATGTTTAGTGACTGTCCGATAAGCGCTGAAGATGAGCTACAAATCCCGTACACACAAATCCGTAATGACGATGAATCAGATTTACAAATTATAGACTTCGAATATTGCGCTTACAATTATCGCGGTTTCGATCTTGCCAATCATTTTATAGAATGGACCTTCGACTATAGTAACCCAGCGTCGCCGTATTATTACCACCTCAAACAACATTATCCCACCACAGAACAACGTCAGCGCTTCTATAGCTCATATCTCCGTAAGTTGCATGAGGATTCGCCGGGTTATACGCCGACAGCGCGGGAACTCAGTGAAATGGATGCTGAAGTGCGTGTCTTTTCCATGTTTTCACATCTCTTCTGGAGTGTATGGAGTGCGGTGATGACGCTGGCCACCATCGAGTTCGGTTACTGGGTGAGTGTGGTGAATATGCCTGTGTGAACATGAATAAGGGGGTTAGGTTAGTTTGCAGACCTTGGAAAAGCTTAATTTTGACAATTTATTTTGGAAAAAAGGAAAAGGCAATGGAATATATTGTATATTGACATCGGAATCATACTTTTTAGGCCACTAAAAATAAAAAGGAGTATGAAACAAGAAAAACTGTTAACTTCGGCTGTACCGAAGCTATATATCCTGCCAAATTTGGTGAAGATATCTTGTCAAAAAAACAAAAGTTTGACATATAAGGATTGATTTTGATCCGTCACTTAGTATGGCTGCTATATCTTTAACTGGTTCGATCTTAAAAATTTATTCCAAGATTATAGTGTTTCCATGAGTAACAAGCATGGTAAAATTTCGTGAAGATAACTTATCAAATAAAAAACTTTTCGTTATAAGAACTTGATTTTGATCATTCAGTTTGTATGACAGCTATATGCTATAGTGGTTCGATATCGTCGATTACAACAAATGAGCAGCTATTCGTGGAGCAAAGGGTGTTTGTAAAATTTCAGCATGATATTTTAAAAATTTAAGGACCATTTTGCATATATACAGATAGATGGACATGGCTATATCGACTGAGCTCGTAATAATATCCGAATTGGTCTAAGCCCTTAAGCAAAAAAATTATAGTTTCAAAATTAAAATATTTGTTTTCTTTATCTTACAGGAGTACGGCGTCGCGCGTATACGTGAATATCAGCTACTGAAAGAAACTTATGAGCGTGAGAACGCCAAGAAATCGTGATAATTGTTCAGTTTTAAGTTTTACATATTCTTTGTTTGTCAAGTAGCGCTCAGTTCGAGTATAAGACATAACTCTAAGTGGTGTTGTGGCGCCTTTTGTGCTGTTATTCGCTTGAATTGTACTTACGAATTTAGATATCGGTACTAATTGTGACTAAATTTTTAATGCATATATATTTTTTTAAGCGAAAACATGGTTATAAATGACATATATATGTATATTTTTCTAAGTCAAAACATACACACATACATTCATGCATACATGAACAGAATTTCCTTATACATTTACAAAAATACAAATAAACAAATTATAAGTATACAGAAATTAACCGATTTTTATTATTTTAGTTAGTACCTAAATATAGGTATACAGGTTGGTGCATCTGTCATTAGAACACATGCAAAGTTACAAGTCATTCTGTCAATTATTTCTTTGTTTACAAGCCATTTGAAATTGACGTGTCAGAGTATTTTTTTAATATGGCAGAAATTGAACATCACGCAGTGATTAGATTCTTTGCTTTGAAAGGTTTAAAAGCAAAGGAAATTTATAAACAATTATTAGAAGTGTATAAGAAGTCCTCACCTTTAAAACGCACCGTTGAATTTTCGGCTGGTGAATTCAAACGTTGCCGTGCTAAACTTGTAGACGATCCACACGAAGAACGACCAAAAATCGCAACCACAACAGAAATCATTGAGCAAGTTCATAATATTGTTAGTGAAGATCCAAGTTTGACTAAGCGTGAAATTGCTAATGGTAGTTCAGCTCCAAAGCAGGTGAAGTCACAAAGATCAGCAAAAAAGGTTATGGCATTAGTTTTTTGGAGTGCAAAAGGAATTTTAGTTTGCAGCACAAAAAAAATTATTTTTCACCAAGACAATGCACCTGCTCACAAAGGAGTTTTAACAATGACAAAATTAAACGAATTAAAGTACGAATTCCTTGAGCATATGGCGTATTCACCTGATTTGGCACCCAGCGACTATTAACTCTTCAGAAACCTGAAACAATTCCTTTAAGGAAAATGTTTTTCGTCAAATGAGAAAGCTATTACAGCCGCAGACGGGTATTTTGCAAAGCTTCCAGAAATTAATATAGGGATGCCATAAAATTATTGGAGGATCATTGGAATAAGTGTATTGAAATTAAGGGAGATTATATTGAATCAAAAAAATATATTTTGTATCAAAAACAGTATTGTTTTCATTTTGAGCGCAGAAACTGTTCAACCAATCTGTATAAGCACAGGTACATATTTATATACAATACATACATTGTCATATTGATTTAGTAATCACAGACTTCTTAAGTGCTTCGTTTTCCGGGTTAGTTATAGAGTCACCAAATGTAGTTGATTGCTGATAACGCAACCGGCGGAGGCATGCCACAGCATATATTTACACATCTATGTATATATATACAATAGATACATATATACTTATGGTACGTTTATTATAGTGGCTCAACAAATTTTTAATATTTCTATGTGCATATTTATCACGCGAATTTTATAGGTTGCCAATTTTTTTAAAGTCTAACTAATTGAAACTGATTAGATAAGGGAAAATGGTATAGGCACAGATACTCAATATACTCAGATGCATATGCTTGTGCATATGTAAGCCTAGCATTAAAGATAGGGGAGAAGAAAATACCTTAACTTCGGTTGCACCGAAGCTATAATACCCTTCACAAATACAAAAGACTCCTTACAAGAACTTTGATGGATTTGAAGATATCTCGTTAAATCAAAAAGTTTTCCAGACAAGCACTTGATTCCGATCGTTCAGTTTCTATGGCAGCCATATGCTATAGTGGTCCGATATCGGCCGTTGTGTGGTATGGTTCATATTAAGCTCTACAGATAATGGTTACATAAGTAGAAACCGCAGTTTTTTTCGATTAAAGCAGACACTCGTCAGAAAATTAAATCCGATTTGTAACCAACATTATTTTACTAAGAGTTATAACTAAGTATATTCAAGAGATGGCGTATCTTGTTTAAATTCCATTGTTCCAATATTTCGAACATGCGTTGGAAATCTACTGTCCTTGTGCATCTTCTTTAGTGTATCTTTTTCCAAGCGCAAACAACTACAATTTTCCAATCAAATATGTCGAATTTTGTGCCCGAAAAAATGTTTTTGGTGACAATTCTTCTTCATTACTTTAAAAGGAAGAAAACCACAGCCGAAAGTCATTGTATTTTGGTGGAAATTTATGGTGAACAAACTTTAGCTAAGTGATCGTGCCAAAAAGCGAAAAAAGTTTGAAGATAAGGAACATTAGGTGTTACTCGATGAAGATCGTTGCCAAACATAAGAAGAGCTCTCAACATCTTTTGAAGTCACTCAAGCAATCATTTTAAAACGTTTGAAAGCAGCCGGATACATTCGAAAGCAAAGAAATTCGGTGACATATGAACAGAAGCCAAGAGAGAGACGCTGAAAGACGATTTTGCATTTATGAAATGTTGCTAGAACGCTACTAAAAGAAATCATTGCTGCATCGGATTATGACTGGTGATGAAAAATTTACCTATTACGATAACCTCAAATGCAAAGAATCATCTTTGCCAATCAGCCAAATCAACAGCAAAGCCGAATATAAATTACACCTAGGTAATGCTCTTTATTTGATGGGATCAGATGACCGTGCTGAGTTATGAGCTTCCGGTTGAAATCATTAATGCAGAGCGCTAATGATAACAAGATTTCATCAAATTGAAGTGAGCCTTTGCCAAAAAACGCCCTGTAGGACTACAAAGCTTTTTTTTGTAACTGCGCAAATATACAAAAAGCGATAAATACAAGCAAAGTTGCTGCAACGATGAAAAGACAAAGGCCCGAGTAATGATGCTTTGCGTGGTGGTCAGCTATTAGACTAACTTAATTTGCAAAGTTCTTCTCCTTAAATAATATTCTAAACAATATTTCAATACCGCTAAATACATAATTTCATTTTGTATTATTGCATATAAGCTATGTACATTTAACAGTTCATAAAAGCAGAATAACCCAAGTACCTACTTAACGCTATTGCTCCTGGTTTTATATAATGTAGTTATTTAGAAAAAGAGAAATACAAAAAAGGAAAAAACGTTAACTTCGGTTGCACCGAAGCTATAATACCCTTCACAGATACAAAGGTTCCTTACAATAACTTGATTCAGATCTAATTTCGTGAATCGGCAATAAAAAATAAAAAAATTTTCCATGCAGGCACTTTACTCCGATCGTTCAGTTTATATGATAGCTGTATGACATAGCAATCCGATCTAAACAGTTTTTTCGGAGATTATATTCTTGCCAAATTTCGTTAAGATACCTCGTCAAATGAAAAAGTTTTCCATACATGCACTTGATTCCGATCGGTCAGTCTGTATAGCAGCTATATGCTATAGTCATCCGATCTATACAATTTCTTCGGAGATTCCATTGTTGCCTTAAATAATAATCCATGCCATGTTTCGGAAAGATACCGCGTCAAATGAAAGAGTTTTCCATACAAGCACTTGATTCCGATCGATCTAAACAATTTCTTCGGGAATTACATTGTTACCTCAGAAAATAACTCATGAAAAATTTCGTGAAGATATTACGTCAAATAAAAAAGTTTCCCATACAAGGACTTGCTTCCGATTGTTCAGTTTGTATGGCAACTATATACTATAAGAGGGTCCGATATCGGCCGTTCCGACAAATGAGCAGCTTCTTAGTGAGAAAAGGGCAAGTACAAAATATCAGATCTATAGCTTAAAAACTGAGAGACTAATTTGCATATATACAGACGAACGGACGGACGGACAGACGGACATGACTAAATCAACTCAGCTCATCATGCTGATCATTTATATATATATTTTATAGGGTCTCCGACGTTTCCTTCTGGGTGTTACAAACTTCGTGGCAAACTTAATATACCCTGTTCAGGGTATAGCAATGGGATTGCCGCATTGCAATAGGCTGCTTACATATTAAGCTTAGTACATCTTAAATAAGCTGAAGCATATGTATACAATGCAAGCGCAATCTAACAAATATGTATCTATCTACACAATGCAAATACAATTATTAACTGCATTGAGGTGAATGATTTCTAATGGTTGTCCTTGAATATTTTGGGCAAATAAATTAAGAATAATAAATAGCAAAAAATATATAAGAACATATGGCCGTAGAATGCAGTTGTTCTCAATCGGTGAGGCAGCAGCGCGGAATTTTCGATTAAAAACTAGGCAATAAGTTTCCATAATGACAATGCTCTGCTCATATTGCAAGAGCTGTTAAAAACTATTTGAAAAACAGCAGCTGGTAAGTTGTGCTTTACCAGCCTTGTAACCCAGACCTTGCCCCTTCTGACTATCATTTTTTTCGGTTAATACAGAATGCGCTAACTAGAATACGGTTCACGTAATAACAAAGTATCAAAAATTTACTTCATTCATTATTGAACGCCAAGTCGGCGCAGTTCTTTTGGAATGCAATTCACAAATTGCCAAAAGGATGAGGGATGTACATATCCAGTAATACGATTTGTATATCTAATCTCAAATCTCCTATATATATTTAATAAAATAACACTTCATTCGAGAGTTTAACAAGTTTGCCCTTTTTTATATTATCTTCTCTCTTAATATCACTCAATCCCTATTTTATTTATAATTTCTTACTTCAATCAATAGCAACTTAAAAAATAATTCCAATAATATTTGATGTGTTCTTCATAAGTGTTAAATAGTGTAAATAGTTTAGTCAAGAAATACAACTTTCAAAAGACAGATAAAGAAAAAATGCAGGAAAGTTATTCGCGACGTAATTTCTTTTTATGGTTGAATACCCGTTCCCCTAAGGAATCACATTATTAGACATATGTACGTCAAAGAAACTACTAGCTTAAGATTTATGGACTTCAATACGTTCGAGTATGCACGCTTATCACTAATTATGGTGTCGTTTTGCAATAATATACTAAATTATAATACATTTTATGAAGGTCTATTTGAAACCTTAGATAAAAAGAAAAAATGCTTAAATTATTTATCCATACTAATTTATTACAAAAAAACGGTAATTTCATGAGTTTATGCATATTGTTAAATAATATTTGCTAAATAAGTTCTCGAAAAGCTCTGCGAACTGAGCTTCGAAATTTGGAAACTGTGTGCAGCGTAAACTGTCAAGTTACTTCAGCAATAATTATGTATTTATCATTTACTTATAGTGTTAACATCAAAAAAGCTTTGACAAAGCTTTTCTGCAAGAGCTTTCGAAATTTAGCAATTACTTTGAGTTACAATACTTCAGAGATATTTGTGTTAA